TAGATTCCTTAGCCACCTCTTGCATTTTGCATCGATTTGGCTGCTTGGTGTCTGTCTTTATGTTTAATTGTCGGTCCCCTTTGCATCGCTATGCTGTTGAAACCGTTATTGCGATTATATTTTCTTTGCCTCAGTCTGTTCTTTCTCATTTTTCGCGCATCTAAGTTTCCTATTGGGAGGTGTTTAGTTAGTGCCAGGTTTGATCAGTGATTGCATAGCAGTTCAAACCATCTATGAACCTATGTTCGTTAACAATTTATACTTGTATCATACTACAGCCTGCAATTACCAGTGCTCATTGAGAAAAAATCTAGCTGAAGCCAGAACTTTGCTGGTCTTATTATTGTATCAGATACAAATCCAAGCACCTTAGCTGGAAGTGTGACTTTTGTTAGTTTTAACATTGTGAACTTTGACTTTTACTTGATTGACCTGGTCGATATAGTAACTTCATTTGATCTAGACTTTTGATGCTTCTGCGTTGACATTTTTCTTTCTAGTTTTGGGCATGAAAGAGCAATTCTTATCATGCTATGACAGCAATACGTGGTCGGTTGATTTTTGTATTTTTGGGTGTTACTGCTTTGTTGAAGTTACTGTTTTATGCTGTTCTAGTTTTCTTTAACCTAGACAATCCTGGAAGTATCTGCATTACACAATTTTACGTCGGGTAGAGGAATGTCGTAAATCTCATGAACACTCTAGTGTTACTCTTCTTTCGATCAAAAAATTGTCTCTCTTTATTTTCTTTTAGTCTTAGTTCTTAGGTTATCTAGAAGTTTTAAGAGGACAGTTTACTAGGAATATTGATCTTAGGTTACTGTGGTTATTTGGATCTGATAATGCACATTTTTTGTTGTTGCATAGTCTCTTCATAGTTGTAGAGCTAATATATTGTTTGATGATGCAAATCCAACCAACTTCAACATCGGAATTCATAAAAGCAAGTTCAACTTCAGTATATATTGACCTTTTAATTTGTGAAGTAGACAAGCTGGTGTTATGGTGACTCTTGGTTATTGGGGATTTTTAGTGCATACCTGCATGTAGTCTCTTGTTTTGTTCTGTTAATCCCACAAGGTTGCTCCAGGGTTACTGGCAGCAATGGTTTATTCATGTGAGGTATGTCACCGCAAGTCTCTGTTCATGTTTTTGCATAAATGAAGTTTCATCCTTTTTCCAAAGCAATGATATGCCTGCTTGTGAGGTATATCACCAAAGTGGGTATGAATTCCACTGAAATCTTGAAAGCTATTTCTCAGTTTTGTAATCTAGATAGCTGTTTCCTAAAAAGTATTTCTCAGTTTATCTGGAATCTTGAAAGATCTTTATAACGCTCTGATATTCTACAACAACAACAACATACCCTGTGAAATCTACACAGACCTTACCACTACCTCGTGGAGGTAGAGTGACTGTTTTCGAAAGACCCTCGACTCATATGAAAGGAGGAGACAGTGAAACTACTCAAAGGTGAATATTACTACATTTCGATGCTATAAACATAACATTTTTGAGTTCTTTTCAAAATAATTCTCATCACCTCATGAGGGATAGTTTTGGTTCAATAACACACGTTGTGTTGCATTTTTGTTCAGCAAATATCTGCATGAAAATGGGGTAGTGTATAGACTCCAGGTCGTTACAAAAAGGAACAGTGATCTTGTCTCCAAAGTTTAATATCTTTATTATCAAGAAAGGTCAAACAAATAAGCCAAGGTGAGTCTGCACAAATGGGGTTAAAAAGAGAGAAAGTTGATGAAAAGACAGAATCTTCTTATCCAAAAGGGGATTATTATAATTGCTGAGCCACCCAAAATAAATAAATAAATTTGGGACTTGTTGATTAGACGTTAACAAGAAGAAAAACGAACGATGACCAACAAAATATCAATCTTAAAATGCTTCTGGATATTCTATGAGTTGCTGTGACTTTTCTTATTTTCTTTTAATATCACTTTTAACTTCTTTTTTGTTTCTACGATCAAAACTCTTAGATATTCTTGATGCTAACGTATCTTCGAAGATATTCTGCAAAATATTTAAGCACACAAATGAAAGGTTATTAAGACACATTTGTTAATGCAAAATGTTTTAGGCTCGGTGTTTGTTTTTTAATTCAAAAGATAAAAGACTTTTGAAACTAACAAACTTCAAATACTACCGTTTTACAGAAATATTTCATACAAATCAAAGACGGTGAGCATTCTATAATTATTTGAAGTTTTTCAAACTGTATGAACTTATTTTCCATGAAATTTTTGTGACTAATAACTGTGCAACGTGTCTAGTTCCTATTAGCGTTTTTCTTTATTTTTAATGATGATGATGGTTGACTAATGACAATTTATTGGCAGAGCCTCCATAAATATGACCAATTCAAAAGTTTTTTGTTCCTTCTAATAATAGAGGGAAAACACGTTTTAATGATCTTATCATCTTCTCTTTTCGACCACAAACAAACCAAAGAGAAACAAGGAAAGTAAAAGAAAACTTTCTCTAACGTTTGATTATGTAATTTGTACTTTTTAATGTTTACTATATTACAAAATCTTCTCTTATTTAAATTTATTACTACTAATATACAACTAATGTCTAAATCAAGGCCCCATTTCGTAAGAAAACAATTAATAATTTATATGTACTGATAGTTTTTTTTTTTTTAATATTATCAGTGAATTTAAATCGATGCATTAGTTACTAACTTACTATTTCCTTTCACATTTATGTGTTCATTTTATTAAAAAAGTAGATAGTATACTTTTACTTGTTCAGTTTAGAAAATCTTTTATACTATCTATGTTATTAAGTACTATTCATTTTAAAAATAATATTTTATTTATTGTTTTTTTAAGAAATATGCCAAATCAAACCTAAACAAATAAATATGAAATATCATTTGGACTACACTCAACAAATAAAATTTCCTTTTCACAAGGAGTTTGAGAGATTTACGGCGTGAATTAAGATTAATCGAATGTGAAAAAACAAAAAAAACTACTTGTAGATGTTTAAATGGTTCATTCAATGACCAAGATTAGAACAAAAGAATTTATGTAGTATTTGAAATGACTAACACAATTGTCACTATTTTATTTTTGTTACATTGTTTGGTAGTTTCAACTTGCTCTGATTTGGAAATCTTACAGCTCTGCATGCCCCACAGCCGTCGGCAGCTTAAAGACTAGAATATTAAACCTGAAAACTCATACCAAATATATACCTTGTTTCCAAGAAGATTCAAAAAGAGCAAGAAAAAAGATTCAATCTTGATTTTTGTTCTTGTTAATCAAATCTTAAAGTTTTGATTTTTAATATCTGGGGTTTGTGTAAAACTTTGATTGGATTCTTGATTTTGGGATAATAAGACTATGGGGTTCAACAAAGATGAAGCAAGTTCATCTTCTCATGTTTTGAGTATCCCAAGAGAAGATACACCACTTCTTGGCAAGATTCAACATCTTTCTTCTCCTTCCAAGACTTTTGCTAATGTTTTCATAGCCATAGTTGGAGCTGGAGTTCTTGGTCTTCCTTACACCTTTAAGAGAACTGGATGGGTTATGGGTTCTATCATGCTCTTCTCAGTTGCCTTTCTTACTTACTACTGTATGATGCTTTTGGTCTATTCAAGGCGTAAGGTTGAATCCCACATCAAAGCTGCAAAAATTTCATCTTTTGGTGATTTGGGGTTTGCTGTGTGTGGACCTGTTGGTAGATTGTCTGTTGATCTTATGATTATTCTATCTCAAGCTGGTTTTTGTGTTAGTTACTTGATTTTTGTGGCTAATACTTTAGCATATTTGTTCAGCTATTCAATTGCAAAACCAGATCCCAAAATCTTGGGATTTTCACCCAAAGCAATGTATATATGGGGCTGTTTCCCATTTCAGTTGGGGTTGAATTCAGTTCCCACACTGACCCTTTTAGCCCCTTTGAGTATTTTTGCTGATATTGTTGAATTAGGAGCTATGGGTGTAGTGATGGTTGAGGATGTGATGATTTACCTCCAGAACAGGCCTGTTCTTGAAATGTTTGGTGGGTTCAATGTGTTTTTCTATGGACTTGGTGTGGCTGTGTATGCTTTTGAAGGGATTGGTATGGTTTTGCCTTTGGAATCAGAGACAAGAGACAAGGACAAGTTTGGGAAAATCTTGGGATTGGCAATGGGCTTCATATCTTTGTTGTTTGGTGCTTTTGGAGTATTGGGCTACTTTGCATTTGGGGAAGACACTAAAGATATAATCACTACTAATCTTGGGCAGGGATTGCTCAGCACCTTTGTTCAACTTGGCCTTTGCATAAACCTGTTTTTCACTTTCCCCCTTATGATGAATCCAGTCTATGAAGTAATGGAAAGGAGATTCTGGGAAGGCAGGTACTGTGTGTGGTTGAGATGGCTTATGGTTTTAGCAGTGACTTTTGTTGCATTGGCGGTGCCCAATTTTGCTGATTTCTTGTCACTTGTTGGGAGCAGTGTGTGCATTGTTTTGGGGTTTGTGTTGCCTTCTTTGTTTCACTTAATTGTGTTCAAAGATGAATTGAGATGGCATGGTTTCGTTTTTGATGCTGCATTGATTGTCATGGGCACAATTTTTGCTGTCTATGGAACCTATTCTTCCCTGATGGAGATATTAGCAAAAAAAGCTTAGTTTCTTTTCCTCATAGCATTTCATAAGATGTATATTGAAGAGATTGTTTTTATTCCTTAGCAAAGGGCAAGTAAGTCCACACTTTGTTCCTACTAGTAATTCATTTGTTAAGCTATTGTTTGTGAGTATGTTGAGGGGTGTGAGGGTCATGTTCATGTATGATTGAATATTTACTGCAAGAAGCTATAATTACTCAAAAATGGTCTATTTGGTTATCTCCTCTTTATACTATACTCCACTTGTTATGTTATTCATTATAACATGAAGTTAAAGACTCTTGAAATTGCTTGGTAGAAATCATTTCAAAAACTAATCCTTGTATGAACTTGGTTTTTGAGGTTTCTTGTGCTATCAAAATACATGAACATTTGAAGTTCTTGTGATCATATGGATGTTTCTCACTGTGATTGAAATATGTGATACGTTAATTTATTTACACTCGGAACTAAAACAAATAGATGCATAACATATGTTTGTATATAGATGTTTTTACACTTAACTATGATTAATTAAAATATTTGTTATAGATTTTTGTTTCATTCAATGATTTTAGTATAAGAAGTTGACAGATACTTAGTTCATGAATCCAAAGATAACACATCAATATGTATTAATACTTCATCCAAATTAAGAAAAGGTATTGGAAGAAAATAGAGATGTTTTTAATAATAATACAGTAATTTTTAAAATCGAAAATCGAGATTACCTGAGTGGAGTGGACATTAGACAAACGTGAAGATTGTGTATACCATATAAAGGACAAGTCTTATCAGTCCAATTATATTAGGGGAGCCCCCAAATGGATTTTCTTTTATGTACAACGAAAAAGATTTCATTTTTATCAATCTTTTTTGTGTTATTGATTAGGATTACACAACAATGGGGTTTGAGACAGACGAAGCAAGTTCATCAACCCATGTACCTGGAGAGGATGTGCCATTTTTGGGCCAAAATCAACAACTTTCTTCTCCTTTAAAGACTTTTGCTAATATTTTCATGTCTTTCGTTGGTGCAGGGGTTCTTGGACTTCCGTACACATTCAAGAGAACAGGATGGGTAATGGGGTCTCTCTTGATCATCTCAATAGCCACTCTTTCTTATTACTGTATGATGCTTCTTGTTTATTGTAGGCGTAAGCTTGAATCCCAATTTGAAGGTGCAAAAATCTCATCTTTTGGTGATTTGGGATTTGCTGTGTGTGGACCTATTGGTCGTTTTGTTGTTGATGTTATGATTGTTCTCTCCCAAGCATGTTTTTCAGTTGGATACATGATTTTCATTGGTAATACTTTAGTATATCTGTTTAATTCTTCTGTCATAGAAACAAATCCCAGAATCTTGGGATTTTCACCTAAATCGGTGTATATTTGGAGCTGTTTCCCCTTCCAGTTGGGGTTGAATTCAATTCCAACACTAACCCTTTTAGCCCCTTTGAGTATTTTTGCTGAAATTGTTGATTTAGGAGCTTTGGGTGTAGTGATGGTTGAAGATGTGCTAATTTACCTCAAGAATAGGCCTAGTTTAGAAATGTGTGGTGGATTCAGTGTGTTTTTCTATGGTCTTGGTGTGGCTGTTTTTGCTTTTGAAGGGATGGGAATGGTGTTGCCTCTGGAATCTGAGACAAGAGACAAAAACAAATTTGGGAAAATATTGGGTTTGTCAGTTGCCTTTGTAGCATTTTTATATGGTGCTTTTGGAGCATTGGGTTACTTTGCCTTTGGGGAAGAGACCAAGGATATAATCACTACTAATTTTCGACAGGGATCGCTTAGCAGCCTGGTGCAGCTTGGCCTTTGCATAAACCTCTTCTTGGCTTTCCCACTGATGATGAATCCAGTTTATGAAGTGATGGAAAGGAGATTCTATGAAGGCAGATACTGCTTGTGGTTGAGATGGCTTGTGGTTTTGACAGTCTGTTGTGTGGCATTGACAGTACCTAATTTTGCTGATTTCATGTCATTGGTTGGTAGCAGTGTGAGTGTTGTTTTGGGGTTTGTGTTGCCTGCTTTTTTTCACTTGATTGTCTTTAAGGATGAGCTGGGCTGGTATAGTTTGGCTTTGGATGCTGCATTTATTTTCATGGGCACAGCTTTTGCAGTGTATGGAACCTATTCATCCTTGGCAAAGATCTTTTCAGAATTGGCTTAGCTTTTTCTTTATTTTTCATGTGAAGATATTTTTATAAGATGCATATTTCGCACCCTGATAAATTTTTCAAGTTACCCTTGGCCGATGATAAACAGCATACCAACAAGAAATAAAGAAAAAAAACAATATAAGATAACTTCTTTTACTACCAATCCATAATTCGATTAGTTTAGCAATACAACATAAGTGATAAGATGGAAGCACAAAATGCACCCAAAAAAAAATAAAAAATTCAGTCGCAAGGATCCCAAATCCACCTCATAAAACAAAATACCTCTCCAATATAAACTGATAAAAAATGCTCATTATACACTATACATTCAATATGGGTGACCAGCAAAAGTTGTGTCCACCTTGAATCGAAAAAATAATGTGGTAGAAAAGGTCAAAATTCACATGGAAAAAAAATATAAAAATCAAGCTAATAAAATAATAGTACAACAGAGCTTATCGTGATACTAATGCATGCCGCACACATTTTTATCTAGTCACAACATTACATACCTACAAACAACAAACTGGCCAAAAGATAAAAATGAAACAAGACTTCGTACTAGTACTCCATCCCATCAAAACGCTTTCCAACTATCAGAATCTCTCCTTGGTGTCTGACTCTCGGCCGACGTCTTAAATGGGTCATTTGAACCAAATGGATCGGCATCATCAAATGATGTGAAACCATGACCATGATCTGTGTCCCTGGTACTACTCATGGAATCAAACCTACTTAGTGATTCGCGAGGAGGAAAGAGCCCAAAATTATAGTCAGAGTCTGCGGTGCTGCGAAATGAATCGAACCTAGCAAATGAGTCCCGTTGCTGGAATGAACCATGATCGTAGTCAGAGTCTCTGGTGCTGTGCATTGAATCAAATCTTGAAAGAGAGTCACGAGTGCCAAAGGGGCCACTATCATTCATGTTAAAGGAGTCAAATCTGGAGAAGCTGTTCGAGTTTTCTTCAAACCCTTCACTATGTCTTCGAGGCGAGTTTGTAGAACTGTACATAGGTGTGCTAGGAACTGAGTCCCCGAAGGCAAACGGACTCTTATTCTGGAACATATTATCTGCATTCGGGGAGCCTCCTGAATTATAAGCTGGTGTGCTAGGAACAGAATCAAATAAGGGACTTTGCCTCGAGAACAAGGTATCAGTCTGAGTGAATCCAGAGTTGTAACTTGGGGTGCTTGGAACAGAATCAAAGAAAGGGCTTTGCTTCGGTAACGTGTTGTCTGAATAACTGAATCCAGCATTGTAACTTGGAGTGCTAGGAACAGAATCAAAGAAAGGGCTTTGCTTAGGGAACGTGTTGTCTAACCCAGCATTGTAACTTGGCGTGCTAGGAACAGAATCAAAGGATGGCATTTGATTCGGTAGTGTGTTGATGGACTGTTTGGACCCCGTTTTAATAGGGGCTAAGCCCCAATCGTCATCTCCAAAAAGAGAAGATTCCTTGAAATTGTCATGATCAGAATCCTGCATAAACAAAGAAAGAAAGTAAGCAATATAACGTGGACTTTCAGCTTTAAAATAATGTCAAAAGGTATTCTACGAAACAAGACAAACTCTGTGAACGAGTAGAAGGTTGCCTAGACAATAATGTTCTACAACATGATAAGGTCTTCATCTAACCAAGCAGTTGCAAAATTGAAAAAGAAAATGCAAAATAATCTATTTACCTTTGCAACAGAATTGACGTCCCATGCGGCATCAGTGTCAAAGTTGGTATCAAACGTACCCCAGCCAGATCCATCAAACCTTTTATCCCTCGAGAACACAGATTCAGTACCCCAGTGTTCACTGCACTCATAAAATCAAACGAAGAGATTCAGATTTCTAGGGAACTGTACAATAATTTATAGAAGGTGAAAACCCTCTACAATTGAGTATTCTAGGCAATTTGTGGTCATTGGAAAACAAAAGAACGTGGTATACTGAATCACAAAAACGAGGAAGAGAACCACCATATTACCTTTGAGCAGCATGGGGTGAACCATCAAAACTAGTGTCCTTCCTGTACAGAACATACTCAGAATTCTTTAACAGGAAACAAGAGAGCATGATAGACTAAATGGTCAAAAGAAGAGAGAACCGCCACATTACCTTTGCGCACCATGGGGTGAACCATCAAAATTGACATCCTTCCCGTACATAGACTCTTGGAATTCTTTTGACGGGCTTTCAACTGCATTACTCCTTGATGGACTATCAGTTGGACTTCTTGCTGTTTGCTGATGTCCATGTGCAGATTCCATGTCACTAACTTCTCTAGCTTGTACATGGTTTGGCAGCTTATCTATCTTTGCATCAGTATAAGCATCAGCAGATGATTTTCCAGAATCATGTTCAGCTAAAGAAGATGCTTTCTCGCGAACCAATGAAGACTTTGTTTTAGGAGGGGCAATGATGTTTTTCACATCAAGTGTCAGCTCTTTCACAAATGTGAATCCTGGAAGAAAAAGAATTCAACAACAAAGTGAGCCAAATATGCCCTCACATCCAAAAGCAACACAAAGAAGAAACAAAACTGATTCACTGGCCTCTGGAGGCATTTTGAGTGTCAGCACTTCGATTAACAAGCTGACTTCTTAAAACATACCTTCATCTTCAAACTTATCCCACTCTTCATCCAAGTCTGCTGCAACCTCTTGGATGCCTGGTTGCCAACCTTCGAAAATACAACTTATAGTATGAGAAAGCATTTGAAAAGAATAAACAGTCAGTAACAAGTTAATTCTAATGCCCCAATAAAGAATACACTCAAATTGTCTGGAAGAATGAAAGGCTTTGGCTTGAGATTGACCAGTGACTTTTGGATCTCTGTTATAGCTGGTCGAATGTCCAGTTAACGTGCCTAATGGAAAATACTTTTTGCAGGCCCGTCCAGCTCATTATATTATTAGCCAAGAATCAAGATAGGTGAAACTCAAATGGCACTTCTAAAACAGAACAGACTCCGCTAGAGTCACAATTTCTTCCAGGGAACCATTTTTTATCATCAAGATTCTTCTCAGGAACAATAGCTTAAGTCACAATTCAGCACACAAAATAACAAGGCATTGGAGTTATATTTTCAAAAAGATCTTCTTTATTTGATTTTACTGATTTAAAAATAAAAATATAGCAATAGATGAGACAACCAAATGAAAGCTCATATCTTCACACAAAGTATAAAAGACTTGTACAATTACCAAATGGAAGCTCAAGCAGTGTAGTTGGTTTAGCTCGTAAACCATAAGTTTTGCACCGTTCATTCAGTGATTTTACTAGCTCCTCAAGATTCACCTGAATGTGACTAGCACGGTCCTATAAAAGAGAAATGACTGCTTCATAAAAGTTCTACTTATCTCTACCAAATTGAGTAGTGAGACAATATTCCAACCTGGATACCATCAGTCTTGCCATCTTGATCCATTTTAACAATTTCCTTGTATAGCTCCATTTTTTTCTCCTATAAAAGGTTCAGCAACATAACACCATTTAAACACAAGCCAATTTCACATGATTTACAAAGAAAATATGAAAAAGGGAAGTTAACTTTACACCAATGCATTTGACAAAACAAATCCACAAATACCTGAATATCCCGAAAGGTGGCCTCTTCAATTGTCAATTTAGAGGCAACGTCTCCTGTCTGCTTGTATTTCTCTTCATATTTTTTAGCCAATAACTCAACCTGTCAAATTCTCCATTTTAAGTTAAACAACGTATACGAGATGTGGTTTCCCTATGTTCAGAAAAGTTTTTTACCTCTCTTTTGTCAGCAGAAGTTCTTTGAGTGATCTCATTTAGTCTATTGTCGCATCGGCTTTTGTATAAAATCTGGTAAAAGAAATAACAGGAGAAAGCAGACAATTTTAGCATTGTAGGATCTCTTCTTTTGGTATACAATTGTTAATGAAATTATTTACCTTAACAAAAAAAAGAATATCTAGATCTCTGAATATAATTGATTGAAGTTGAGGTGCATAAAGATCAGACACTCACTATTTCTTGCATCTTTGCATGGTAGAACTGAATTTTTTCTTTTGCTTCCAAAATTTCCTTCTCCAATTCCATGACCTTCAATATTATAGCATAGAGGGGGGAAATTGTATTAATAAATGTTGGCAGTTACAAGCACTTGGAAGTAAAGCAAGCACCAACCGACATAAGAAGAGGCTCCACTAGAATTAAGTTAAATTCACACATGAAGATCCGTGTCTGGTCCTCCATAGCATCAAATTAACAATTAAGGAAATTCACAAAATGCCAAATATTCATTGATTATAGTTCTCTAAATACTGCGAAATAATCAAAAGTTAGTGCTACAACTGACATGATAACCAAGGAAATTATGACAATACAGACACAACAGTATCCATACAATGCATATAATTCACATTCTGAAGCAAATTAAATGTAGCATCGTTGTTTCACACATCAGACTTGTCAATTGGTTCCGAAAGGAAAGTGTTCATTTGCCTTTTAGTACATCAAACCCAACAAATAAATACAATATAATCTAGTGTTGAAATAAAAGAAGACAGAACACACCAGCAAATACTGCCAAGTTTCCTGCAATGCACAAAACTGCATCCAGGTGCAAGTGTTAAAACGGCGGTCACATTCACACACTTCACTAGTATATACATACTGTTCAAGATCCATCTCAAATTGCAATTTGTTTTCTCACTTGTTTGGTTAAAGACCCAATTTGTGAAACGTAAATTCAGATAATCATGGAAAAAGAAGGGAGTATTGGAAGAACTGAGAAAGAGTAAGGAATAAAGGAAATAGTAGCCGAGAAGAACAGTTAAATTTCACCTTCTTTTCTGCATCAGTTGCTTCCTGGAACTTTGAATTCAATGCATCCTGTTCCTCTTGACTAAGTTGATCAACAAGATGCTTCTCCAGTGCAGGAACTTTAGGCTTCTGTTGACCAGGCTGCACAGCTTCATTGGGCTGGGGAATGGGAACTGGACGTGGAGGCCTTCCTGGAGCGCCAGAAGCCATCTGTCCTGGAACCCTTGGCCCCTGTGTTTGCTGGGAGGCTGGAAATCAAAAGAATCATGAAACTAAATCAAAACACAAGAAACAGGAGGAGAATTATCCAGACTGA